CTGGGAGTGTGGTGGTGAAGTAGGTGGAATGTATGCATTCTATTGTGCCCAAGTTAAATGTCCATGTTGTAGTGGGCCTGTGACCCTCAACAGTGTTCCCCCAGTGGTAGAGCCTTGCCCCTCCCCCCTGCCTCGCTTCTCTGGCTCCAGCATTCCCAATCTGTTTGCTTTCAGTCTTGACAACCTTGTTGACTATATATGTATTTCCCCCCCTTAGGTGAGACAGGAAGGGGCTGGTGTGCAAAGAATGCCTTTCCCCCAACAGGGATTCCGGTAGGCCTTTGTAATAGAGAAGGTTCTGGGTGTACTTCACAATGATTATTCATCTCCTCTCCCTGCCAGAGCCAAAAGGAGATCTTCCTTGATCTTCACTGTGGCTATCTGGTGGGGTGCCTGGAGGTAAAAGCCTAGGAACATATGCAGCCCCTCAAAACTGCAGTCTCCAGGAGCTTCTCACTCTCATGCTAGGCCACACTCAACTTCCAGCAACCCAGTATTACTGTGTTTAAGTGTTCCTGCCAGTTTATGGCTCCAGCAGTTTCTGCTCCAGGTAAACAGATTTTGACTGTCAATTCTAGAGGAGCTCTCGCTCTCCAGATTTTGGGGTGATGGTTTGCCCTGCAACCTCAATTCTAATGGGTTGGGTCCAAGGAAAGACACTGATTTTCAGTTTGTCCAGCTTTTCTGAGAAGAGTGCACGTGTGCGTGTGCGGCAGGGGACTGTGGGCAGAGGGAGAGAGAATCTTAAGCAGGCTCCACGCCCAGCGCAGAGCCCAGTGCAGGGCTCCATCTCACCACCTGGGATCATGACCTGAGCCAAAATCAAGAATTGGACGCCTAACTGACTGAGCCACCCAGGCACCCCTGTCTGGCTTTTTCTCGTAAGGACAAGAGTGACAACTTTCATCTCCTTTCACATCAGAGTTGGAACTGGAAGTCCCCTTTATTTATTTAAAAGATTTTATTTATTTATTTGACAGAGAGAGAGAGACACAGCGAGAGAGGGAACACAAGCAGGGGGAGTGGGAGAGGGAGAAGCAGGCTTCCAATGGAGCAGGGAGCCCGACGCGGGGCTTGATCCCAGGACCCTGGTATCATGACCTGAGCCGAAGGCAGACGCTTAACCGACTGAGCCACCCAGGCACCCCTATCCCCTTTATTTTGAATAGCCATTCCCTTGCCTCCATCTGAACTCCCACAGCCCTTCTTGTCCTCACATCTGCCATATCTTCTCTCCGGCTAGACTCTCAGTGAGTCTTTTCATGATGATGTCCTAACAAGACTGAGTTTCTTCAGAAAAGGGGCCCTGGTTAGCCCCTTGCCTATGCTAACACTTTGTACATATAAAATGCTTGGTGTTGCTGTTTGATTTTATTGCATCGTTTCCATTTATGACCTTCATTCTAACAGGAGAAAGCCTCTGGTGAGCTGTTAACCAGCATCCTCTAAACTTCCTTTTGTGCTGTTAAATGAATTTTCCTAGTCTCTGAATCAAGGTCTTATTTTCTTAACAAGGTTGGAATAGCGCGAATTTCACTTACTGTAAATTGAGTTGCAAAAGTAACTTCTCAAGATCTGGTAAGTCCTGACTCCCTTGATTTCTTTTTTTAAGTTTTTACTAAAATTCCAGTTAGTTAGGGGCACCTGGCTGGCTCAGTCTGTAGAGCACACCACTCTTAATCTCGGGGTCGTGAGCTTAAGCCCCATGTTGGGTGTGGAGCCTAACAAATAAATAAAAACAAATAAATTCCAGTTAGTTACCATACATTGTAATACCAGTTTCAGATGCACAATGTAGTGATGCACCTCCACAGAACACCTGGTGCTCATCCCAAGTGCCCTCCTTAATCCCCATCACCTATTTCCCCCCTCCCCTCTGGTAACCATCAGTTTGTTCTCTGTAGTTCAGAGTCTGTTTCTTGGTTTGCCTCTTTTTCTCCCCCTTTGCTTGTTTTCTTAAATTCCACATAGGAGTGAAATCATATGGTATTTGTCTTTCTTTGATTCTTGACTTTGTTTTGGAATGACTTAAGTAGCTAGGTTAAGATAAAATCTGACCAAAATCTAGGAAAAGGGTCTTCTAGGTAAGTGTCCAAACTGGTGGTTTCAGAATTATCTAGGAAGCTTAAAAAAAAAAAATTCTTGGACTCAGTCTTAGGGAGCAATTATGGTACACAGCTAAGTGTAGGAAAAAAAGATACTTCTGATCAGCAAGGTATTCATGTCCAAAAATGTTTTTTATACCCACACTTAAAAAATCTAACCACAAAACAAAACAAAACCTATCCATTCATTCATTCATGTTCAGCCTAGAGGACACAGGAAATGTTACTGAAAATTCACCCTTTCATGCATTCAATAAATGTACTGAGCACCAAGTAAAGGCTGGTTACCAGGTCTTGGGCCCGGTCCAAAAGAAGCAAGTGCACTAACTCAGGGCTTTAGAGTCAGACATCCTAGTCTTCATCCAGAGCTGTCACATCCCGGGTAACCATGAGCATGTCACTTACGCTTGCATGGCCTCAGTCTTCTCACGTGTGAGAGACAGTATCATTCACTTCCCCGGGAAGCTCCGTGACAGAGATCACAAAGGAAGTACTGAGGAAGACTTATACTTCATCCTCCCAGAACAGTTTCTAACTCATTTCTCAGCCCAAACACTGGCACTCTGTAATCTTCACAGCTAGCACCCACTGAGCAGTTCATCCACATGCCAGGCAGTGCGCCACGCTATCTGTCCATCCAGATGTCAAATTTTATCTGTGAAGGTCTAGAGGCCAGCAGCCTCCCCCTTCCACTGGCTGTGTTTATCCTCACTCCTGTAACCAAAATACTGGCAAAGCAAGCTGAAGCAACAGGACAAGGACTTTTTATCTACAAGAGGGCTGAGCTCAAAAGCCACAGGATGTACTAAAAAGGAGATCCTCCCCTGCGTCCCACCGCCCCCCAGAGGTCCTCACCACAACTGAGGGTCATGATGGCAGAACCTCCATGAACGAAGGCAAATACCAGATAAACCTATCTAAGAACTGCCATGGGTTTAATGATACCCTTTGCTGCTACTACTGTATCAGTGACTACTACCGCCATCAGATAACTATTATTAAGTCTTTACATGTCCCAGATACTGCTGTTCTAAGGATTTTACATTTAGTTCTCCACAACTCTAAGTTACTAAAGCCTATATCACTGATGCTGACCCTTCACAACAGCGGAGACAAGGCAATTATTAACCGAGAGGACACAGAGCCTGAGACTCTTGTAGCACAACTCACTGCCAAATTAACTTCTACTTTTAGGAAGACCCTTAAGGGCTTCTAGAACCTCCACCTATGTGGTTAGAGTTAATAGCACCTGCATTTTTACTTCACAGGGTTAAAGATGTCATTTTTATTTTTTTAAAAATTTATTTGAGCGAGAGTGTGTGCCCATGTACGGGGGGAGGGGCAGAGGGAGAGGGATTAGCAGACTCCCTGCTGAGCAAGGAGCTTGACTCAACCTGACTGGGGGCTCCATCCCAGGACCCTGAGATCATGACCTGAGCCACAATCAAGAGTGGGACACTTAACCAACTGAGTGTCATTTTAATATGGACCATGGTTTCAATTCTCTAAGAGACAACACTGAGTACTTTCCCACATCTGGCAAAAACATATCATCACCTGAAGTAGCACCTTTTCACCTGACTTGAAACCTTCAAGTTTCTAAGAGCATCCCTGCCCTTAGGCAATTGTAGAGGTTAAAAGTAAACAGGCCAGTACAACCCCTTCGAAACCACTTTATTCCCTTGTCTATAAATGACCAAAATCAAAAGAATTCCACAAGGAGTGGAAGCCTCTGCACTCCTGGCGTTTTTCTGCTGTAGGACGGCTGTCCGGTGCGTGACAGGAGGCTCAGCAGCATCTCTAACTTCTGCCCACTGGAGTCAGTAGTGTTCCCCAGTGTGACAACCAAAGATGTCTTGGGATATTGCTACATGTGACTTGGGGGCAAAACCATCCCTGCTTGAAAACCACTGCTCGAGAGGGGTTAATTCAGAGCTACCATTACTCCGTTCTGCATACCCAAAACTGACAGCCTTTGATGTTCCTTCTCTAGCGCACTGAAATAAAGTTCACCTGTTGTTTAGCTTTGTGCCTTCTTAATTTATAGTAATTGAAATGTCCGGATATGGGATTGTGAAATATTACTTAAGCAACAAAAGGCCTTACAGGGCAGCTCTAATTCCTAGGACTTCCAACCTGCTTGGTGGATATCCTAGTTTGGCCCAGACCTAAGCTGGTTTCCTCTCAAATGGACGGACGTGTTTCCAGAGGAGACCGCTCTGGAGTGGGAGGATAAACTTTCCTTGCCTTGGGGTTTACCTCTGGGTCACAAGAGGTCCCCCCATGCCGCCAGATGTTGTACAGATTCAAATCAGAGACCGCATTCTGGCTGCAAAGTTCTGGCTGCACAAATTAGGCAGCAAGGAGTCCTGCATTTTTGGGTTTCTTATCACTTACACAAGTCACGGGCTAGAACACTGTGCCCTTCTCCCTTGGTCAAAGGGGTACAGTGTGCCACGATCCCAAACCAAATTAAAGAGAAAGCAAGAATCTGCTGACCCAGAAAAGGGTTATTACACCCTTCCTAAGTGTGTTTAAACAAGTCACTCAGATGAACTAGGAAAAAAATTCCTCTGAAAAACAGGAGTCATGGTACTGACTTATCTTAAAAGGCCTTTTAAGAATGACTTGAGATTATAAAGCATTTTTCAAATACACAAAGTGCTTCATAACAACTCAGTAAGCTTTAAGGAATGCTTCTTTTAGTACATCACTTTTTTTGTTGTATAAAAGAAAATACCCCAATTCAAAGGGTGGTAGCCTATTTGATAGCACCACTGTTTAAGAGGAATGGAGTTACAGGAATGAGAAGTATATAATTCGTAAATAATCCCTCTCAACAGTGAGTTAAGCAGGACAGCCAGAAAGGGGGAAAAGCAGCCGGGAACACCACAATCAGTGCACATCAGAAATGCTTTTTTATTTTTATTTGAAAACAACTTAAATTTTTAGACAAATGATTTTAGTATATAAATTTGATTTTGTTTTTATACAGAATATAAAGATTTCCCTCATTGATCTTCCACGTGAAAGGTATTACAAGCCTGAAGGGAGAGACTTTCTGCACACAAGTGTGTATCTTACACATGGGGGACTGGAAACCAATGGTGTAGTGCTTCTACACATAAATTAGGTCAAGGGACATCACATATTAAAAAGGAGTAAGAGAAATATTCTAGTTAATCAGATTCAAGAAGCAAACAGGACACAAAAACTGTGCAGATAAGACCAAGTCAGTAACTTTAGTTAGGACACTGCGGGTTATGCTGGAGTAACAGGTCTGTGAGGCGATGGTGGGTACCACAAGAAGAGCTATTTATATAGAAAGGCTGGAATGAGGGATTTTCACTAAAGCAAATTAACTTCTTGTCAACTGCCAAAACAAAACAAAACAAAACCGAGCATATGAATGTTAGTATACTGAAGGCATGTTATACCAGTTTCTGTGCAGCATGCTAAAAGTTAGTTAGAACTTCTTCACTGGTGCATATGAATAATAGTCACGGAAAGGGTTTTTTTTGTTTTTTGTTTTGTTTTTGCCCCTTCTCACCAAATTTCAGGCATGTCTTATTTTAGATGGAGTATAGCTTTTATCTATAATTTCATCCTGTAAAAACATGTGAAGACAACGTTCATTCTGTGCCAGAGGATGACCAGCGACCCTAGGAATTAAAAAATACAAACTTAGTCCAACAGTATTTTTCAAAAGTGGGGCTGGGGGTCAAACACATATATTCTAAGGTTAAAAAGCACGTACAATTTAGCAATAGTAAGTGTTATTCTGGACTGCTCACAAGGCTATGCTCTATCAACGAATGGTAGGTATTTCCTTTCCTTTGGCTCACTAGGTCATTTAGAAAACATTTAATCGCTAGCTTTGCACTGCTTCTAGAAAATGTACCCAATTAACTTCTTTATATATTAACGGGTATATTCACAAGAAACCTAAATGAATTTTAATGTTCAAAGTGAAACCTGTCATTAATTCTAAAACCCATTTTAAAGAAGGAAAAGACACGGGATCAGAATTAGAAATATACTGAAGTTCAATAAAGGCTGAAAATACTAAGAAAGGGGCGTAAGTGTCCATTTTCTTCTTCTTTTTGCTTGCTTTAAAGGTTTCCATTGCAGACTAAACATAAGATGAAAATGGGTAACCAGACTTTTATTTCTGAATTTAAAAAACACCTCTGCTAGCACTGCCTTCTCCCAAAGGAAAACAGGTTCGTAAGACAACGAAGGTTAACGTGCTACAGCAGATAACTAAAAGTTAAAGGCTTTGTACAACTTTCCCTCCTGTTTAACCACTCACAGATCTTCAGTCTTTATTACTAGATAAAAACTGAAGTGTTGAGTAATACTAAGCTCACACAACCATTACTCTCCAGTATTTGACCTTATTTGGTTAAATTTAAGGCCAATGCACAATTATAGCGACCCCTTTTCCTGGCATAATTCTATCACTTTGGTTTCTAAAAACGGCTATATTTCAAAAGGAGTAAAATTAAAAGCTAGAAATTTTGCTTTAAGAGTTTCTAAAGTAAAACAATCTCAGGTCTTCTTACATGTTGAAAAAATACATTTTGCCATGAAAATTTTAAATGTGTACCTTTACACAAGACATGCTGATAATAACCTCCATCTGCAATCAAACAAAATGATTGCAAGTGTACTGTAAGTTTTATTGTTCACGCTAGAACATACCTTAAATGAGAAAAAATCATAAGTAAAACTATTTTTTAAATGCTGCAATTTTAAATGTAATTTGCATAAATTAACCATGAAAAACAAATACAAAACTTAGGTTAACACAAAGATACTCATTTTAATCACTCAAGTGTGTTAATATTTATCACATGATCTTCAACTTGTTATATACTTCTACTTTATTTAAATGGTACAAAAAGTTAGTTAGGAAATGGCCAAAAAGAAAAGTAGTGTTACCGTTTAGCTTAATACCTAAATTACTAGTATTCACCTGAAGTCGTCTCGGAACACTATTCCCTCTTACACCTCGAGGTACAGAAAGTACTTACTTGTTTATAAACTGCTCCAGCCCTTGCTTCCTTTCTTCAATAAAATTGTCATCAAATATTCCATCATCTCCTCTAAAAGGAAGCTGACGCAAAAATGCTTTTCCAGGGAGCGGGGGGACTACAACCTGAAAAAATACAGGAAAGAAAGTTCTTGAAGATGCTGACTGGGCTGTGAAAATTAGCACAACATGAAAACAAAGTATGTGTTCCCTAGGACAGCCATTCTTTTATATTTAAACTGTAAACCAGTTTAAATATAAAAGAAAATCAGTAAAAACACACTGAAAAAAGATTCAGTGTTTGGAGGCAAGATAACCAAAATGCAGAATAGCCCAGCAGACCAAGGCTCCTCAAGGGCATGGCCCATAACTTAATTACCATTTCTGCTGAACGTGTCGAGGCACAAGTGTACAAAGAGAACATTCGAGCAACCATAAAGGCTGCGGTGCCTCCAGACAATCTGGAGGCCACTTAGGGGAGACAACGCTTTCTCATGGTGGAGACTGCAGAGATCAAGATCAACTTTCAATCACACCAAGAAATGAAGTATTAACAAATTCTCTCCAGCATGGGTGGATAAGAATTCTGTGGTCTATTTCCTCCACCTCATACCATCTGCATATAGTCTTTCCTACTTGTGTTCGAGCAGCATTTAAAGAATAAAATAATCAACAATTCTGTCACCACTCTTCCATTTTCTAGGCTAAGAAACATGTCAACTTTCTCCCACATCCATTACCCTCTCTCTCCCCAAGGACCTGTCATTTCTTTCTTCCTACATAGGAATATCCCAATTTTCCCCTTCAAAGTCTGTCCTTTAGCGCCCACTTACACTGATCTCTCTTCTAGGAATTACCTGGAGCTCAAATATCTGAGTTAAATAGCACATAGCTGTTTATTTCACAGGTTAGTTTGGTTTCTCAACCATGGCACTATTAACATTTTGAACCAGATAATTCTTTAGGGGCGGGGTGGGGAGGGCTTTCTTGTGCACTGTAGAATGTTTAGCAGCATCCCAGGCCTCTACCCACTAGACTGGGTAGCACCCAGGAGCACCCCCTTGTTGTGACAATAAAAACTGTCTCCAGACATTGTCAAATGTCTCCTGAGGGACAAAATTGCCCCTGGTGGAAAGCCACCAATTTATCCTATTAATGCCTTCAAATAAGGATCCTGTGTCAGGCTTCCTATGGTTATTTTAAGAAAGGCTGGGCACACAACAGAAGCTCAAATATCTGTTAAATGACTAACCACTTAGCTGGACCCATATCTTACACAAACAGAGAAAAGGTGTAAGCAAACAATTCAGACAAGAAGAAATATAAATAGTAAACACAAGTAATAAAATTGTATGTATTCTAAAAATTTTAAACTCTTGACGTAGTTTCTATCCTAAAACAATAATCCAGCAGGGTAAAAAAAGGAAAGATCAACACAACTTCATACAGAATAACAAAGAACAAAGTAAGAGCAAAAAAGAAACCCAAAACCAAATGCCAGACATGAACTTCCTAAATCCTTCCTAGATCTACTCTTCTCCCCAGATGACCAATGATTAAGACATCTAAAGATTTATCTCCATAACTCTGCCTTAGCATTTTCGAAACTCTCCCTCTATTAGCATTTGTGAAGTTGAGTGTTAAAACCTGCAGGGACCTTACAACTGAGAAGCAGAGATCATGACCACTAACTGAGCTCCAGTAGAATGGCTGTCTGATGGGCAGGGAAAAACATCTGTATGTATAAAGCTATTATTAAAAAAGAAGCTAGAACCAATGTACTAAACAAATAACTACCATTAATTCAGGGCATAATTTAGCATGAAACCTAAGATTACTATGTGTTATCTTCAGAGATATATTCTTCCTAACATAATATTCAAAACAGTCACTGAAATGGATGGTGAGGTTGTAGGTAACAGGTTGTAGCTAACAAAAGTCATGAGTGGCTTGTTCCGCTAAAATTCCAAAGATCCTCTTTAACATCAAATTACTTTTGCTTAAGCAGTCTGAAAAGATCTAGAGTTCTTACCAATTTAACAGTCATTAATCCAAAGATGTTTGTGTACATGTGGGGTGAGAAGTAGACAGGAAGGTATTTGGGCCAGCATAATAAAGAAAAGCATACTAAACTAAAAGCTAAAAGATTTCACCATAATGACCAGTAAACACTAAATACCACCTACTCTCTAGCCTCATATAACAGATTTTGGTTAAAAGTATTAATATATAAACAAAAATACTTGATTGTTCTTAGCAATACTGTAATAAAGTACAACTTTCACACAGGTTAAACCCTTCAGATATTTAACTGGTCTATTACTAAAAGTGAAGTATTGTGCTTCAAAGGACAGCATTATGTGAAAACAATCCATCAAATGGGAGATTTTTGCAAATCACGTATCTGATAAGGGACTTGTAAGAGTTTTTATATATTCTAGATACAACTCAATAATAAAAAGACAAGGGCGCCTGGGTGGCTCAGTCAGTTGAGCACCCAACTCTTGGTTTTGGCTCAGGTCATGATATCGGGATCCTGGGATGGAGCCCCGAGATGGGCTCCAGGCTCAGTGGGGAGTCTGCTTGAGAATTCTCTCTCCCTCTGCTTCTGCCCCTCCCTCTCTCTCTCGGATAAATGAATAAATGTTGCTTTGTTTTTTTTTTAAGATACCTACTGGCCCAAGGACACAGAGCTGGGATTTGAACCCAAGTGTAGGTGACTTTGAAGCTTATCCTCTTTCTACTACTCCCTGGCCCTGCCTCTTGGCTTCTGGTCTGGGCTCTGGGTCTGCTGTTAGGGGAGGGCCTTGGACAAGTCCCTTCCTGTGTCTGAATAATGAGAGGCTTGGATTGGACTGATCCCGAGATTCCTTCCAGTTCTAACATCCTATAAGTTCGTCTCTTTCTTTTAAAAAATTTACTTGTTTTTTTGGAATACTTAATAGTCACATGAGACACAATTCAAAAATTTCCAAAGGTATACATGTCACAGACCAGAGAGGCTAGAGATGTGACCACTAACCGCCACATGGTCTCCTGGACTGGATCCTGGAACAGAAAGAGGATATTAGTGGAAAAGCTGATGGAAGTCGAAGTTTGGAGTTTAGTGAATAGTGATGTACCAATGCTGGTTTCTTAGAGTTGCCAAAAATACCATGGTCATACAAGATGTCAACATGAGGGCAACCGGGGGAGGGCGTATAGGGGAACTCTTTGTGTTATCTTTACAACTTTTCAGTATATCTAAATGATTTCAAAATAAGAAGTGGTTTGGTTTGAGTATCCAGTGAGACATTGTCCTCTCGCCCCTGCCCTTGGGCCGCCCAGTCTGCCCCCCAACCAGGCAGCCAATGGTACCTGTTTCTTTCATAACCTTTCAGAGATACTCAACCGACAATCAAAGAAAGTATCCATATTGTATAAATATCATCTCTCAAAACAGAAAGTATGTCTGTGAGATAAATTCCTCAAAGTGGAATTCCTGGGCTTATAGTGTTGTTATTGCCAAACTGCCTTCCATGAAATTTGGGCCAATTTATCCCTCGGGCAGACAATGTGTATAAGGACCCGCTGTTTCACCAACAGACTCGTCCGAGAGACCGATTCACCTCCGTTTATGTCAGACCACCAGCTCTCAAAATGCTGCTGAGCAGACCACTCCAGAATGCTGTCCCAGAATGGTGGGTCCCTTCTGAAGCACGCAGCTGAGGCGAGGGGGGGTGGCCATGCGTGGCCAGGGGCAGCGAGGCTTGGGGAGTGATAGCCGGGTGGTTTATATTCCCCACGTCAATTACTACTGTCCTCCGGGGAAGCCATTCACAGAAGGGCATTGTCTCGGCTCCACGGCACACAAAGGGTCAAACCTCACAAATTTGCTCATTGTGGGGGGAAAACACCCCACGGGCCAGAATGTTCAGATTACAGGTCCAAGAAAATCCCTTTACAGAAAGAAGACAGCAAATCCCCAGTGCAGTTGAAAGGACAAAACTTTCTTCACCTCTGAGATTCTCCAATGAATAAACCGGTTAAACATGGTTTGGATTTACCGAACATGAAAACAACTGGATTAAAGTATAATCTAGCTAGAAAGGAAAGGAAATGTACCGAGAAAGCTAAGTAATGACAAAGCTGCAGTGTTTATAGGTGCCAAGCATGGATGGACATTCCAGTTTTATAACCAGGTTCTCTTCAATGTTTAACTTTCCTTTAGAGGAAGATAATGAGTCTCGGCTTGCATTGGCCTCTTTGATAACAACACTGCTGTCAAGGCAACTGTGGGAGCGCTGGGGACATGCGTGCCCAGGAGGCCACAGGCCCCGGCCCCGGGGTCTGGAGGCCCCGGCTGTCAGGGTGGATGCTCACCGTGGGTCCCAACCTCACGGTCAACAGCCGGTGCAATCCATACTGGGGTCAGCATCGCCCCGGTACTGGTTCCAGAATTACAAAGACCAGGGCTTGTATGCCAGTTTCACTTTTTACTGGCTGTGTGACCTTGGACATATAACTTACACCGTCTCAGCTCTTCTCTTGGTAACATGAGGATAACACCCACCCAATAGGTTTTTTGAGGATTAAATGAGATAATACAGGTGAAAGCCCAGGCCGAAACCTCAGCACTCGACAGACAGTAGGTTGGTTGTCTTCCAATCTCCTTCGCCCTCTCTCTTCTCAGGCACACGCACCCGAACAGCAAGCGAAGCCACGTCACTTCGCGCAGACTCAGGGCATGTCCAGGTCTCGCTCTGGGATGGGAGCCTTCGGGGGTTGTGACATCACCGGCTCCTCACCCGATTTGTACCAAAGATCCCTATTCAGATGTTTATAAAAGCATAAAACACACCGGATTATGAATAAAACTAATTTGTTGAAATCATTTATTAAAGTGTTTTTTATTTTTTTACTTTTTTTGAGTGCGCGCGCACACACGCGCGCGCGCACACACACACACACACACACAGAGTCGGGGGAGGGGCAGAGGGAGAGACTCTCCAGCAGACTCCCCACTGAGAACGGAGCCCGATGTGGGGTTCGATCTCACAACCCTGAGATCAGGACCTGAGCCGAAACCAAAAGTCGGATGCTTAACTGACGGAGCCGCCCAGGTGCCCCATTAAAGTGTTTTTTAAAACTTGTGATAAAATAATATGTGCGCCTCTCTTAAACATATTAAATAAGATTCAGGGGCAGGTCTAATAACTGCAATCATTTTCAAGTGGTTATCAGTGTATTTCAAGATCTGCAACAACACGTGACATACACACTCGTATACTACTACTACCCTGGTTTGCTCCTACCGTCATAATGGTAGAAACGCTAAATCCCAGTTAGAGAATACGGAGTATAGAGATGCGACTTTTTCCCCCATCCAAATCCAGATTCCAGATTAAACCACGACACCACCTCTGGCCTCCAGACTGCTGATGAAAAGCATTTAAAAACTGTCAAACCAGCATTCCTTTCACTCTTTCACTCTAGCTTCTCTCAAGATTTTTCTGTTGGTCTGGGATTTTCTGCAATTAGAAAATGATATGCCTACGCGCTGTTTTGTTTTAAATCAGTCCTGCTTGCTACCCTCTCAGCTTCCTGGTCCTGTGGTTTGGTATCTTTAATTTTGGAAGGTTCTCAGCCATTATTACTTCAGTATTTCTTTTGCTCTGTTCTCTTTCGTGCCCGGTGTTCAATACTTACACCTTTTGAAAGGATCCCACCGTTTTTGGAAGTTCTAGGTTTTTTGTTTTGTTTTGTTTTTAGTTTTTCTTTGCATTTCAGTTTGAGATGTTTCTATTGACCTATCATCAGATGCACAGATTCTTCCTAAGCTATGTCAAACCTACTCATGAGCCCCTGGAAGGCATTCTTCATTTCTATTACAGTGACTTTGATTTCTAGCACACCCTTTGGTTTTTAAGAGTTCCATTTCTGATTATATTACCCTTCTGTTTTTGCATGTGGTCTTCTATTAAAACATTTAACATGTTACATAGTTATTTTAAATATAGTTATTTTAAATTCCCTGCCTGACAATTCCAAAATCTGTGTCATGTCTGGCTCTGGTATTGATGACTGCTTTCTCTCTCCAGACTTTCTGCCTTGTGACATGCCTTGTAAATTTCTCCTCGAAAGCCAGACATGTTGCATTGGATCACAGAAAGGGAGGTCAACAGGCCTCTGTGAAGATTTATGGTAATCTGGCTAGGGAGCGGATGTGTTCGGTTTTTGCTGTGGTTATAGGTACCAGAGGCTTCAAATTCCTTTAGGTCTGCTTTTGTCTCTCTTAACTTCGGGTTTCCTTCCTCAGAGTCTGTCTTAACAGTACTCAGCTATGATCCACTGGGACTCCACTGGAGCTCTGGGAGTGTGGTGGTGAAGTAGGTGGAATGTATGCATTCTATTGTGCCCAAGTTAAATGTCCATGTTGTAGTGGGCCTGTGACCCTCAACAGTGTTCCCCCAGTGGTAGAGCCTTGCCCCTCCCCCCTGCCTCGCTTCTCTGGCTCCAGCATTCCCAATCTGTTTGCTTTCAGTCTTGACAACCTTGTTGACTATATATGTATTTCCCCCCCTTAGGTGAGACAGGAAGGGGCTGGTGTGCAAAGAATGCCTTTCCCCCAACAGGGATTCCGGTAGGCCTTTGTAATAGAGAAGGTTCTGGGTGTACTTCACAATGATTATTCATCTCCTCTCCCTGCCAGAGCCAAAAGGAGATCTTCCTTGATCTTCACTGTGGCTATCTGGTGGGGTGCCTGGAGGTAAAAGCCTAGGAACATATGCAGCCCCTCAAAACTGCAGTCTCCAGGAGCTTCTCACTCTCATGCTAGGCCACACTCAACTTCCAGCAACCCAGTATTACTGTGTTTAAGTGTTCCTGCCAGTTTATGGCTCCAGCAGTTTCTGCTCCAGGTAAACAGATTTTGACTGTCAATTCTAGAGGAGCTCTCGCTCTCCAGATTTTGGGGTGATGGTTTGCCCTGCAACCTCAATTCTAATGGGTTGGGTCCAAGGAAAGACACTGATTTTCAGTTTGTCCAGCTTTTCTGAGAAGAGTGCACGTGTGCGTGTGCGGCAGGGGACTGTGGGCAGAGGGAGAGAGAATCTTAAGCAGGCTCCACGCCCAGCGCAGAGCCCAGTGCAGGGCTCCATCTCACCACCTGGGATCATGACCTGAGCCAAAATCAAGAATTGGACGCCTAACTGACTGAGCCACCCAGGCACCCCTGTCTGGCTTTTTCTCGTAAGGACAAGAGTGACAACTTTCATCTCCTTTCACATCAGAGTTGGAACTGGAAGTCCCCTTTATTTATTTAAAAGATTTTATTTATTTATTTGACAGAGAGAGAGAGACACAGCGAGAGAGGGAACACAAGCAGGGGGAGTGGGAGAGGGAGAAGCAGGCTTCCAATGGAGCAGGGAGCCCGACG